ATCAGCCACAATATATGTGAAAGTAAGATCACCATCATCGTCCAGAGGGGCAGCTTCATCTTTTTAATAAAAGTAAATTTTATCCAGGTTTAATTTTAAAAAAATAATGATCTTTTTTGAGCAAAGAGGTGGCACTCACTAGAATTGTCGTCTTCGTCATAAATATAATCATCATTATTATATTCTTCATCAGAGCCATCAGACATTGTTTCGATTTTTCTTTTCTTACGCTGTGGAGAAGTCGTCTTGACTATTGAATTCTGAAGAAAAAGCGATCAAAGTTTCTATATTGTTCCTACGCACAAAGAAATAGTCTCGATTTACAAAAGATTGATGAGACCTATAGAGAGTGACAGAAAAATATTTTGCAGCAGAACTACACAATAATAAAAAAAGTATTACTACTAATAATAATAGTAGTATTATTATTATTGCTTAATAGCCTCGGTGAATTGCTTTAATATAAAAAGGCTCCGTAGTCCGCAAGTGACTAAAATGATTTGCAATTTGGGCTGCGCCGGACAAAATGACTTTACAAGGATCAGATGATGTCTTGTTTCAGAATTCAGAATTTAGAAAATCACGATCGTAGCGGCTGGTGCTGAAATCGGGCTGATGCTAAAATCGACCAATGAAATTAGAGAATAGAAACTGATCAGCCAATGGGATGCGCTAATTTCAGCTTCAGCATCAACCCCCGACAAGTCTTATCCAGAAGATCTCCGAAAATTAAATTCATGATTTTCTGATCTATGAAATCATAATGGCGGTAAACCAATCAAATCGTAAATGTAAATATGAATTCTGCTGGGTCTGCATGGGACCTTGGTCAGAACATGGTACCAGCTGGTATAATTGCAATCGTTTCGATGAAAAAAGTAGTCAGGATGCCAGAGATCAACAGGCGAAATCTAGAGCTTCTTTGGAAAGATATCTTCATGTATGTATAATCATTTTTATTTTGTAATTTTCATAATATTTACATTCAAATAATTCCATTAATTGCTAGTACTATAATCGATATGCCAATCATGAGCAATCCGCGAAACTTGATCGTGAACTTTATCTAAAGACGGAGAAAAAAATGGAAGAAATGCAGCAAACTTCTGATTTATCATGGATTGAAGTTCAATTTCTTAAAAAAGCAGTTGATATTCTCGTGCAATGCCGTATGACTCTCAAGTGGACATATGCGTTTGCATTTTATCTTGCTCGTAACAATCAAACAGAGATTTTTGAAGACAATCAACGTGATTTGGAAATGGCAGTTGAACAACTCTCTGAATTATTGGAGAAGCCTATCGAAGCCGACAAAATTGCAGAATTAAAACAAGAAGTTCTCAATAAGACTGTTTATGTTGGAAGCAGAAGGGAAGTGTTGCTGGAAGATACAGCTAAAGGTCTATTGGAAGGTCGTTGGGAATTCCAAGTCGACATTAAAGAGTAGAAGGTCTCATCATCACATACAAAGCAATCATTAAGGAATCGTCGTCGTCATCTCGTATTCTAATTTTGTTGGGGGTAATATAAAATCAGCCGGACATAAATTATGGCATCTTGAAAAATTCAGTTAAAGCATGAATTAATTGAATACGGTATGGGTTGCTGAATTTATTTACTAGACAGTAATAAAAAGTAAATGAGTTAACCTCATACCATAATGAACATTTTAATGCAACAATGCTGCAAAATTTTATTTGATCTGTTGTACTCTATTATTATTATTCCTTTTTTGATCGCCCATGCTTTAATAATTTCAATCAATCCTTTTAGGATATATATGTGTATATAATATATATAGTCCTTATCTTTCATCAAAATGTTGTTAACATAAATAACTAAATACACATTTTCTCTCATGTAAACATCGCTATTTCTTTTTTATATATAAACATCTTATAAGATGATTTTTTTGGAAAATGAATAACTACATATTTGATTGTATAACGATAACTACATATTTTGATGATGTTATTTAATCTCGTAAATCAATGCTAAGATAAGTTTAGCGGCATGTCAACTTGGTCAATGTTCAGCTGATCAATGTAGGCGGAATTTTCGGAATCTACATATCTAAAAATGGATTAGAGAATTTTTCGATCAATTCTCATCTTTTTTGCGCGAGCACTATTTTACGCGAAACGCAACTGCGCGATTGACTTTTTTAACTGTTCCTTTCAATTTAGTAAAGCTAGAATCTTTTAAGAAGAAAAAGTTATAAGCCATATTACTGATAAAGATACTTCTTTCGCTTTTAAAAACACGCGTTCAACGTTACTGCTTACAAATTTCACCTTTCTGGAGGACCCATAGTTAGTAAAACATGGTTGATTACAGTACAATCGTACAATATGACGATTTATGTACAGATCTATTGCTAGACAAAGTAGAATTATGGTAGATATTTTCGTTTTCGTGGGGCCTACCCAAATATCTTCTATCGCATCTGAAGATCACACTTCTGCTATTCGATTGAATATAGGTTTAAAACTCACAAGATGGATTCTCAGTATAAACCACTTGATCTCAAAGACGAAATAACGAAAAACGCATATACTACAGTTTTTCAGACGCTTAGATTCATAATTTCTAATCCCGATAAAGGAGATGTTGCTGTTCAAATGCTATCAAAGTAAGCTTCAAATATATAAATGTTATGTTGAATTCTGTTGTCACTTGTATTAATAGATGTTAATTATAGGTCTAAAGTATTTCAAGAAAGACTTCCAAATCTGGATTTGAATACAAAAAGACCTTCGAAGCAAGCCAAAGCTTTTTTCGAGTACATATATTAATTAATAAATTTAATATGTTAATTTATATGTTGATTTTATTTAACTTTGCTCTAATGATTATGACGAATATAGGCATCTTAAAAGATATCTAAATATGTATCGACCGGATGCTGGGATTGAGCTTGGGGAAACTCTCCGCTATTCTAATTCGAAGAAAGCAGAAGCATGTATACTCGCCACAAAACGTTGGACCAAGGGTGAAATAATACGATATTGTAATGGGATTTTGGTCGAATTAACTAAAGAAGAAGAGTCAAAGTTGGACGACGAGAAAGATTTCTCAATCATCGCTTCGGAGCGTAAAAAACGAAATTGTGTGTATGTTGGACCTGGTCGTTTCGTGAATGTAAGTTAAATTTATTGTATCCTCATTAAATAATGTTATAATCTTTCATTTAAGAATATTATTTTCTTAAAACTTTTAGCATGATTGCGATCCAAATACAGCTGTAAGTAGTTACAATTTGATTTTTTCCTGTTCTTTATTTTAACATTTAAGTAAATTTTTTACCTTTCATTATAGTTTTACATACAAGGATCTCAATATATTGTCTCTTTTCAAGTACTAAGAGATATTGAATTAGGTGAAGAAATAACATGTTCATACGGGACAGATTATTTTGGAGATAATAACTGTGAATGTCTATGTCTGACTTGCGAAAGGTATTTAATTATATATTTATAATTTTATATCAACAAATGATTTTGAAATCAACTGATTAGTCTCCAATACTGCAGACGAAAGATGGGCGCATTTGCGAATAAAAAAGGAAAAGGCAAAGAGCCTGTGTATATAAATACTTTCGAAGCAAACGAAAGTACTAGCAATCTTAAGGAACCACAACCACAATCACCAGAAATTGGCGTGCGGACAAGAGGATATCATCGAGGTAAATTTAAAATAAAATATTTGTATTGTTCTATTACCAATTTTATTAATAATATTATCATTATTTATTATTCTAGTACGCTCTTCGCAGGTTGCCAAACAGAATATACCGTCCGCTTCATCTAGTTCTTCAAAAACCCCAAATCAATCTCAGACAGCTTCCTCTTCAATCAGTCAAATACCACGTACACAATCTCAATCTCCAAATTCGTCTTCTCTGAAACATCAACAGTCGCAATCGCCACAGCCTATGTTAAAGCGACCGCTTTCTGCTCAATCTCGAGAGTCGAATTCAACACAATCTACAATACAGCGACTTCAATCTGAACAGAAGCCGAATATGAATTTTAATAATACACGACAAGAAAATCTAACGCATTTTAATTCTCAAAGTCAACCACCTAATATATATTCTACTCCGCAATCACAGAGTCATCAAGCTGGTGCTCAACATTACTTTAACCATTCGCAATTCCGCCATGAAAATATGCACCAGGGTCAATTCCAGCAATCAAATTCTTTATATTTACCGTCTTCGAATAATTTTCATTCCAATTATGGCGCGAATCAAATTCAAAGAATCAGTTTTCCATGGACAATATCGCAAACAGTTCTTCCAGGACAAATCATGACAACCGGATTTTCTATTACTGCAGGGTTTTGCGTGTCCACTACGCCTGGAAACGCTCAACCGGTTATGATTCCACCACACTTGTTACAATTTACGTCGAGACAAATCCCTAATAATATATCGACAATTGCAACAAGTCCTCGAAGTCCTCGGATGTCAATCAATTTTCTCGTGAATGAAGAGATGGAAGGCGGTGGCGGTAAATTACAGACTCAAACTCAGCCTGCCCAACCGTGCCGCATACCAGATTGTAACAACATAAGTGCCCCAGACGACCGATATTGTTTGAGGTGCACATATCAAGATATATATAGGATGAAATGGCCCGCACGCGTGTCTTCTCAATAATGAATGAACAACAGATTGTTAAGAAGGTAAATTAATAAATTACAGTGGTATTAGCCTTTCGAATAAATATAATGCAATTTATTACTTTTTGAATGATATAGCAATCTGCAACACGTATGCCAACCATCTCTGCACGTGCAACACCCTCAACATCAAAACCGTCCACTTCGAATAAGATTCGTAAAGAAACAGTAAAGGGAAAAAATGCAGAAATCTTGACATTCGATATCTCAAATTGGCAACCATATCAAGTCGCCGGTTATACGACGACAAAAAATTCTTACTCTACATCGCAAGATTGGGCGGGACGAAGTTCAATACATGGTTAGCCTTTAATAATACCGAATTTTCATTCGAATATTAATTTATAATTGAGTTAAAAAATCCTGTGTTTGTTTAGTACATGAATATTATGTACAAAATAATAGCATCAAGTTACGCTGGGACCACCAAACGGGTTATGTTCACATCACCCCAATGTGGAAGTCCACGGGGCTTCGACCCCGAGCATTGGGTGATGTGATAGCCAAGGATCCGAGGTGGTCCCAGGCAAAGAAGATAATTGGTGGGTGCACGGAACTTCAAGGCATTTGGTAAGTTAAATTATTCAATTAAGCAAAACATAACAAAAAATATAAGAATTTATTAGTCAATTAATTCTACACTAGGTTGCCTTATGCTACTGCCCGTGAATTTTGCGTGGAATATAAAGTCGACCCAAAGATTATTCAACCAATCTTTGGGTGCGATTGGTGGGTGAGCGAGGAGGAGGAGGAGTTGCCAGATGTGGTGATGGAAGATATTTTGGAGGTGGAGCCGATGGCGAGGAGTGTGGAGAGTGGGGATGAGGAAGCTGATAAGGAGAGACTGTCACAAAGGCGGAGACTGGAGAACGGCCTCGACAGGGAGCTTCAATTCGCAAGGAATACGGCTGTGCTGGCAGCAGGTCGTTTCCTTAGCGAAGAGGAGCTCAGGTTCATTAGCGGCCGAATTGAAAGATTAGGTCGCTGATGGACCAACCTGTTGGGTTTGTTGTGGAGAGAGGAACACAGAAGAAATGAGGAGAAAATGGGTGAGGTGAAATAAGGTTTGGAATGAGGAGTTGGAGAAAGAATCTATAAAATAATTAAAGTGGCAGGATCAAAGGTGTGGTCGTCTTTCACTTCATTCAGGTGTTTGAATACTTAAATAAGGTTTGGAATGAGAAGTAGGGAAAAGAATCTAAGAGATAGTTAAATGGCAGGACCAAAGGTGTGGTCGTTTTTCACTTCAGAGGGAGAAGGAAAGCAGGAGAGATAAGTGAGGTGTGGCATGAATTAATTGAATACGGTATGGGTTGCTGAATTTATTTACTAGACAGTAATAAAAAGTAAATGAGTTAACCTC